AATAATTGAATAAGTGTGGCACTGAAAGATACAGACAGACAATGAAATAGTCCATAAAGCCCATTACCAGACATAAGTATGTTTGAAAATTCTGAGTATGGTTAATGTAGTATTTCATATTAGTGAAGAAAGAAAAGTATATTCACCAGGTGTTCCCACAAAAATCGGTTGACTATTACCTCATCACATGGAATAACAGAAATTGATTTAAATATTACTTTTTAAGTAATATTACTTAAGTAAATATTACTTTTCACAGCACAAAGGAGCCAGAAGGAAATAGGAATCACTACATAACTAACATCCTCTATGTGGATAAAGAATAAGCAAATAATTAAAGAAGAAAAGATAAATAAAAATATTTATAGCTCTGACCCCACAAATCTGTTTCTAAGTTCAGGAATAAAAGTCAGGAATTTAAATTGCTGTTTTATTTTTTATTTTTTTAAAAATACATCTTTATTGATTTCAGAGAGAGGAAAGGAAAGGGAGGGAGAGACAGAAACATCCATGATGAGAGTCATTGATCAAACCCACAACCCGGGCATGTGCCCTGACCGGGAATCGAACCCGGATCACCTGGATCCCAGGTCCACGCTCAACCGCTGGGCCACGCCCGGCTGGGCTGGAGTTTGAGAGCAGTGGACTCAACTCTTTGTTCACGTGTCATGTTACTCGTGCCATGGACTAAACAACCACCATCTGTGCTGCTCATTCTTCTCAGTAACCTCAATAATTTCAAATTCGCGTAAACCCTGGGGAGGCAGCGAGCGTGTCGCCTACGGGGAGGGCCGCAGTAGCAGACACAGCTGGGCCTGCCCTGACTTTGGCCCTGATGGCGTTCCTCTTACACGCTGTCACTGACATTTGTGAGTTGTGGAAACTTCACCAGGAGCCCTTAGAGGGGAAACTCTGTGTCACGTCCGCATTGCCTCCCGATGTTATCCTAGTGCCATTAACGACAGGTGTTCAGTGTTTGCCCAGTTACTTACTGGATGCCCTATTAACAGCTGTGCTTATGTTCTAACTGAGGGTCTTCCAGAGTGGTTTTATGTTTTTCCCGTTGTGGGTTAATTTTTTAAAAACCCAGTTGGACAGGGAAAGAGAAGAAATCAAATTAATATTTTACATAGAGCACTTGGATATGCCAATCTGCAAACCCTTAGAGAGATGCCCATTATACTCTAGCCCTTTTTCCTACTTAAAAAGAGAAAACAGTTGGAGAAAATAAATTTTTAAACAACATATTTTGTGTGTGTGTGTTTATCAAAACAAGGTAAGGTAGAGGACAATACTGAGGCCTAGATTTTTATTGGTTCAAGGCAGGAAGTCATTTCTGTTCTACACTGGTTTCATGAACTTTGAAAAATGTGTTCCTTCACCTAAAAGGGACTCATTAATTAATGGTTAGAGCTATGTATAAAATATATATTTATATGAAATAGACTTGAAATGCCAGTTAAATGAGTTCGTTCTGGTGATTATAGATTTCCATTACTTCAACATAAATTGCTACACTTAAAAAACACACAACCACAACACTTCCAGTAAGATATTGAATCAAATCTTACTCTCTGCCCTCCCCCCTCCCCTGCCTCCTTAGTTAACATTATTGGTGATGGGCTTTCACACACTCAATTATTTGAAAACATTTGAAGAGTAGAGCTTAGCATATTTCTGTAATGGTAGAAGTTTATTTGTTCTGGCCCATTGAAAATGGAAATTGAGTGATTAAATTCAAGCATCCAAAGATACTTTAGAAAATAAATGATTGATTAGGGTTATTTGTTTTTAAATGAATGGAGCCAGGCAGATTAAGCCTCATAAGAAGTCATACTTTTGATGCCTGATGCTAACGCTTGCAAACACCTGGTTTAGAAGAATAAATGGGTCAAGCCAGTCACTATATGTTATATATATATGAAGGCCCACTAGCAAAAAATAACACTATTAAATACACCTAATAAAAAAGGGCCATATCTTGTGTCTTGAGGGTATTTGAGGTTTGTAATGTAAACTGGGAAAGCACAAGTGGAAAGTCTAATTGCTGTGATCTAAATCTTTAGGAGACGTGGTCTTGTATAGCTCTCCCAAGAAGTGAATGATGTTTTATCCATTTTGATTAATTTCACTCCTTTGGATGGGATCCAAATTGCTCTATTTTAAACCCTCTTCTCATTTAATAATAGCTACAGCTTAAATGTGCCAAATGTAGAGATTATTTGCACTTTACATTTTGCACTTGCTTAAACTATGGAAGTTCAACCTTTCATTAGTAAAGATAGTCCACAAGAGTATTGATATTTTCCACTACAATTTAAGTCACAAATCCAGAACCTGTGATTGATCTCACATTCTGACCCACTGAATTAATCTCATACTGGGATTAAAATATACGAGTCACTGCTATGGAGAAGAGGAAACATTATTAGACAAAACAACTAAGTGGAAACAGATGTTTTAAAAAAATCAGAACACTAAGTAAGTAGGTTTGCTCAATAAGTAGACTAAGAACATGGCTATTTAGCATTATAAATCTTTCATTAACATGTTCAACATAAAATTTCAGCCCCGTACAATATAAATTTTTATATTCTGTACAATATAATTCCAAAACAAAACCAAAAATTTACAAAAACAAACTGTATAAAGGTGATTACTTCAAATCTACGATATACTTTTGATTTAAGGTATAGTGTCCTAGAGCATATCTTTTGTAGATCAGTTTCCCTCACAGTAGACCAAGGTGTTCATAAAACAAAGTGCTTAAGTGAATAATCTGAAAGTTTCAAGGTGAAAGGGATCATTGCAAGATCTACAATTTCAAGAACGCTGTACTAGCCCACAGAGAGACACCGTGTTTCTGGTGCCATGATAAAGAACTAAAAAGAGGAATAACCCAGTGAGGAAAATATAACATGTCTAAAAACAAATTGAATAACTCGGTTTTGCTTGATTTTGTTTTCCCATGAATTGGTTGTTTACGCTGACTGACAACAACAGGAAGTTTATTGATAAACTTTAAGATGAAAAGAAATGTGAAATTAAATAGCCAAAACTTTGAAAAACTGATCATGAATTACTTCTCTGTATTCTAGAGTTATACGAAAATCAGTGTCTATTACTCTTACATTTGATTATATTACTTATTCATTCACTCAGCAAACATTCTTGAAGTTGACCCTAGACACAAGGCTTTCTCCTAAGTGCTGGGAAATGATAGCTCTGGCCTGAGTGTTGTTCAGGTTTATGGAGGAGACAGGCAGAGCAATAGATAAATTTGAACCAAAGAACAATGAAATATGAATAATAATAATTTTAACTATCATTATTTTATACTATGCTAAGTACTTTAATATATTATGTCATTTATTTCTTAAAATTACAAAATTACTTATGTAGGTAAATAATACCATGTACCGGTTTTACATGAAAAAAAATTTAAGTATAAACAGCACACAAGATAAAAGCAAGTTTCTTAAACCCAGGAAATTGATGCCAAATCATATGCTATTAAAAAGAATGATGAAAGGCACAGTATCACTAAGACACTAGATAGGGAAATCAGAAACCCAGATTTGGGTTTCAAATTTGGTCCTGTTACCTAACTGGTGACCTGATCTCTCTATTTTCGGAAACCTCATCTGAGAAATGCAGGGTCCAAGTGATGCCTAAGGTGCCCAGTAGACTTAAGTAGATATCACATTTTTCTGGTTCTACTAAAAAATTTTGTTTCTGGATTTATTCAAAGACTGTTCTTCCTCTCTCAGTTTCCAGAGTCCCCAGGGTTCCAGCCTCAATCCACCAATCTGTTTACCCACCCACTCTTCATAAACTCACCAACACTTAGTTGATTAGTCCCAATAATCTACCATCCAAACTCTGTGGAAACCACTCTGAGTAATTAAAATAGAGGAAATTTATGCCTGGCAGTTATAATATACTCATAGAAGAGACTGAGACACCAAGCAGGAGCTAGTTAGGTAGCAAAAAGAGGCTGCTGTCCCTGTGGACTGAAGGCCAGGGATTGCTGAAAGCAGGACAAGTCTGTCTTTGCTGGGAGTGGGAAACATGGAAGAAAAACAGCAAATACTAGAAATATATCTTGAGACAGAGAGGATGGGAGAAATATCCCAGTTTCTTCCTTCTGCCCAGTCTCCCGTCTCTGCCAGTGCCTGATGCAACCTGGCTGGAAGCCACTGACAGGGAAATAGCCTTGGGAGCAGCTACTCCGGGAAGAGGGCAGGAGAAAGACTGAGAATGCATCTGAGGGCACACAGGCTTAAGGCCAGCACAATATTTTGCCTAGAGATCCTGTAGATGCATCAAACTACATATGCCCTGAGCTTAATTCACCTTCCCTGTTTTGCCTCCTTCTGCCATGTGCTTCTGCCACTCACAAAATCTAGGCCTATTTACACCTTACAGATACTGCTTAGGTTTTTGCTAAAGTTAAGGGGGTGTGTTGTGTTTTTTTTTTACATTTGTAATAACCTTACGACTTGTTTAACACAACCAAATTTAATTTCAAATTAGTTCTTCACTCTAGAAGTTAGTTTAGTTTTTTTCTTAAATAATTTTTACACCATTAGTTTCTTCCTAGCTCTATAGATTTAAGAATTTCTATTGACTTAAATGAGCTTTCATGACATTTTTATTTGCATGATATTTTAGACAAAAAATGTTTTAAAATGTGAAGATTTTTTTTTCTCCTGAGAAAGTCTTCGCTCTTTCCTGTCATCGTTCTCATTATTCTTCCTCTTTTAAATTTTTTGTGCCCTGAACCCTTAAATGTTAAATATGCACAAGGAAGTTGGGAAATTGTTAAATGAAGTTACACTCTAATTTAATAGATAACATTGATACTAATAACTTATTTTATAGTGCTCCTGCCATTAGTACTTAGAAATTAATGTTCATATTAAAAGAAAACAAATCAAAGCACTTCTAGTATAGCCTATAGATTCAATCAAAATTTAGTATCATCATTTTTAACTCACCTTCACTGTCTGATGGGCCCACTCCTACTCCAGGCTGCTTTATAGGATCTTGTCCATTCTGCCCCATCTTCCCTCTGTTTATAGAGAAAATAAAAGATTGTACTATTTTCAGGTATGATCTCTTAAATGCAAATGAGGAGGCCAAATCTGTAAAAATAGAATGACATTATATATTCAGGCTTGCAATAAATTACTTGAATGGCAAATATAAACATAAATTGCTCTATATAGCATTAATTTTTAAATGGGAACTTGTTTGTTATTTCTACATAGTCCAAACTAATACTTAAAAATTCAATGTCTTATTTGTTGACTCATTTATTAAAGATCAGACCAGCATGACATTTTGAAATTTTGTTTTAGAACTTGGGGGTGGTTATTTTTCCATTTTAAACTCAAAAGTGAGGAGGGTTTTTAGATCTTTACTCTTTGTTATGGTGAGTTTTATAGATCCTGAGTAAAAGGAAAAATTGTGAATTAAATAACATAAAATAATGTTGTAATAACAGATTTTTATTTCACTTAGTGGCTTCCTTTCAGATCCTTCTTGTGTTTTCAGCTGTGTGGAGGATATTTGCTTTTGAAGTCAGACTGCTTGGTCTCTGCTTCCAGCTTCACTATTTCAAGCTGTGTCATCTAAGGCAAGCCTAATAAATTTGGTGAAGACTATTTCTTTTTTTTGTAATATAAGGACAGACTACTCCTTCTTTTGTGATATAAAGACAGCTAATTTCTGGTTATGAGGAAACTATATGGAAAAATATATATAAAGTGCTTACCACTGTGCTTGAAACACCACAACATTCAATAAATATAAAGTATTAATAGGTAGGCATGCACATAATGGCCTTAGAATTCAGTCTGCTACTCACTTTTAGCTTCAGCCTCAAACTTTTTGGAAGGCCAAATAGATAATTTATAATACTTTGAGCACCATGGCTTCAGAATATTGATCATGTAATAGCCAAGACTATAGGCCATTTCTATTTTTTTAGTCAAATGAAAGCTACATGGCATACAAAAGAGCTTGGAATTCCTTTCTATGTACACATATATACATAGATGATGTTCTAAAAAAATGGCATAAAAATGTTTAAGTATGCAAAAGAGTGCTTGAACAAAAGGATGTCTTTATATTTTCTAAACAATAATTCTAACATAGTAGGATTTACTAACCATTATTATTTTCACAAAAATATTTTGTTTGCTGAACCCACTGAAAATGTAACCACATTTATTTCTTAAGAACTTAATTATACCATATTACCCAAAGCAATATACAGATTTAATGCAATCCCTATCAAAATACTAATGGCATTTAAAAAAATATATATATATATATATATCTTTATTGATTTCAGACAGAGGAAGAGAAAGGGAGAGAGATGAGTCATTGATCGGCTGCCTCCTGCACACAGCCTACTGGGGATCGAGCCCGAAATCCAGGCATGTGCCCTCACCAGGAATCAAACCTCAATCTCCTGGATTCTAGGTTGATGCCCAACTGCTGAGCCACGCCGGGCCGGGCAATACTAATGGCATTTTTCACATAACTAAAACAAAGAATTCTAAAATTTATGTGGAAGCAACAAAAGATCTCAAATAGCTAAAGCAATATAGAAAAAAGAAGAACAAAGTGGGAGGTATCATGCTACCTGATATCAAACTATGCTACAAGGCTGTAGTAACATATTGATGGTTGCCAGATTGGAGGCGGATTGGGTGGATGGGTAAAAAGATGAAAGAATTAAGAAGTACAAATTGCCCATTATAAAAATAGTCACAGGGATGTAAAGTACAGAATAGGGAATATAGTCAATAATATTGTAATAACTATTTATAATGTCAGATGGGAACTAGAGTTATTGGGGTGATCACTTCATAAGGTATATGGATGTCTAATCACTATGTTGTATACCTGAAACTAATAAAATATTGCATGTCAATTATAATTAAAAATAAATCTTAAAAATAATCTAATTAAATCTTACTTGAAAAAACTGTATTTACCCCATTGTATATCTTTGCACCTTTGTCATAGATCAATTGACCATATAAGTGAAGATTTATTTCCAGGTTCTATATTTTATTTCATTGATCTGTATATCTGTTTTTATGCCAATACCATACCATTTTGATTATTATAGATTTGTAGTAAATTTTTTGTATAGATTCATATATAGACTATATGTATACACATATATTCACATACACATGTATATGTGTGTGTATATATGAATATGTGTACATATGTATGCATATATAAATGTGTGTACATATGTATATATGTAAATGTATATGTGTTTATGTGAATATATGTATATAAGTGTATGTGTGTGTGTATATATATAGTCTGCATATAAATATATACAAAAGAATTTACTACAAATCTACAATAATCACAACAGTATGGTACTGGCATAAAAACAGACACAGAGACCAATGGAATAGAATAGACAACCCAGAAATAAATGTTCACTTATATGGTTAATTAATTTATGACAAAGGATGCAAGAACATACAGTCTCTTTAGTAAGTGGTGTTGGCAAAATTGGACAGATACATACAAAAAATGAAACTGGACCACTTTTTTTTGGATCATATACCGAAATAAACTCAAAATAAATTAAAGACTTAAATGTTAGACCTGAAATTATAAAACTCCTAAAAGAAAACATAGGCAGAAAACTCTGACATCACTCTCAGCAATACCTTTTTAGATATATCTCCAAGAGCAATGGAAACAAACAAAAAAAAAAAAATAAAGAGGATTATATCCAACTAAAAAGTTTTGGCACAGTGAAGTAAGTCATCAACAAAACAAAAAGGCAACTAGCTGAATGGGAGAACATACGTATTTGTGAATGATACATCCAATAACTGGTTAATGTCAAAAGCCTGGGGTTCAGGCTTGATCCCCAGTGGGGAGCGTATGGAAGGCAGCTGATTGATGGTTCTCACTGATATTTCTCTCTCCCTAAAATCAATAAAACATATTTTTAAAAAGAAAAGCAAAACAAAAAATATATATAAGAACTCATACAACTTAACACCAAAAATTCCCCCATAAAAAACACACCAAAACAATCCAGTTAAAAAAATGGGCAAAGGACCTGAATAGATGCTTCTCAGAAGAAGCCATAGAAATTGCCAACAAACATATGAAAATATGCTCAACATCACTAACCATCAGGGAAATGCAAATTAAAACTACAATGAGGTATCACCTCATATCTGTCAGAATGGCTACCATCAATAAATCAACAAACAACAAGTGCTGGTGAGGGTGTGGAGAAAAGGGGACCTTCACACATTGTTGATGGGAATGTAAATTAGAGCAGCCACTATGGAAAAATAGTATGGAGATTCCTCAAAAATTTAAAAATAGAGCTGCCATACCTCTAGCAATTTCACTTCTGGGTATTTATCTAAAGAAAGGAAAAACACTAATTTGAAAGATATCTACACCCCTATATTTATGTCAACATTATTGTCATAGCTAAGATATGGAAGCAACCTAGGTGTCCATTGATAGGTGAATGAGTGAAAATGGGATATACACAAAATCTTACCATTAGCAACGGTATGGATGGGAGCTATGGGATATTATGCTAAGTGCAATAAGTCAGACAGAAAAAGGCGAATACTGTATGATCTCAAGGTGGAATCTAAAAAACACTCAAATAAACAAATAAACAAAACGGAAACAGACTCATAGATATAGAGAACAAGCTAATGATTGCCAAAGTGGACTTGGTGTGAGGATAGAAATAAAAATTTAAAAAAGACAGTGAAGTCATATCTTGGGGAAAAAAATTTAAAAGAAAAAGAAAGAAAGAAAACACTAACAGATTTTTCTGTAATGTTCTGTGTAATCATGTGATTCACAATTCACATTGCTAAGTTTTTTTCCTGGGAAGGCACATTGCGTCAGGATTAAAAAAAAAAAAAGTTTTGATTAATCAATACACAAAACTTAAATTTGTGTAAATGCTTCTTTTTAAAATGTTTTTATTGATTTTAGAGAGAAGAAGGGAGAGGGAGAGAGAGACAGACATCGATGTGATAGAGAAACATCTATCGGTTGCCTCCTTCACACACCTGGGGGATGGGACCCAAAACCTGGGCATGTGCCCTGATAAGGAATCAAACTGGCAACCTTTTGGTGCATGAGGTGATGCCAGCCAGCTGAGCCACACCAGCCAGGGCTGTAATTGCTTCTGTGAGATTCAAGATAAGTAGTTGATAAGTTAAAAAAACCACATTAACTTTGCTCTGTTACAAAAAGGTGGAGAAAAACAATAATTTAGTAGCAATCTCACCTTAGCAGTATACTATTTTAGTAGAATGAGCCAAACTCAGTTGAAAGTGAGGATCATTTTGGTAGTGGTAATCTAGCAGATGAGAGTACTGAAAAATTACTCCCTTAAACTATGCCAAACATTAACAAAATAATTATAATGTTTAGTAATTGTAAAAAATAATTTTTTGATATTTTTTATTTGATCTTGATTCCTAGATTTCATTTTAATGGTGAGAGTCAGTTGCAGTCATTGCTTCTAATGAAAACTGATGTTAACATTAGATACTTAAGCCAAAATGTGTATTTGGTGAATTTCTATGATTATATGGAAAATTTTTGAAGCATTATGAAGTTAAATGAAGTACAAAGGAAACATATCTGCCTGTGATTCGTGTGAAGTGTGAAATTTTTCTGAATTCCCAATAAATAACCTTCAGCTCAGAACATTCTGAGGACATAGTTTATAATTTATATCTTTTAATCAGGCACCAAATAGTGAGCACTTATGTTAGCTCAAGCAGTAATTGTGTTAGACACAAAGGGGTATATGAAGGAACTACCAAATATTGCTGTTACATATGTATATTCCGTAACACTTTAGAGAAAAGAACTTTTTTGTGTGCTCATATGACAAAACCACAGCCTCCTAGGCAGTTTTGAAGGGCTTTGATCTACAAGAGAAATAGGAAAATGGGAGGGTAAAACAAAACTGGATTCTAGTATGTATGTAAAAATGTAAAATCTACTTCTATTCAGATATTCGGATATTGACGAAATAATATATTTACTCTCCGAAAGTTATAACTTTATCTTCAGTGGTAAATTAGTATTTTGAAAGGTAAGGGTAAATGGAAAGGTTACTAATGTTTACAAATTCATATGATATTTGCAACTTACAGAGAGGAATTGAATGAATTTGCTAAAATTCTCTTCAGTCAAACTGGATCACCAGAGGCTGAGAATCAATGAGATCAGGCTTCTTTTAGAAATAATTTTCAATAAAAAGAAGTGATTAAATACCAATAACTGTATTGATCCATAGCTTAAGTTTTAAAAAACAACAACAAAAAGGCAGACAGGCAATCCAACAATTACTTATTTTAAGTAGGAAAAACATAACTTAAAAATCACAAACACATTTTTCACTGTCCAAATGCATTTCCCCCATTATTTTGCTTTTATAAGTTGAGCCATTACCTAAATATTAGTACTCTTCTGGAGATCAAAAGGAAAGATTGATAAAAAGCATGATGTTAAAACAAAGAGAAATCAAGTTCTACTCTAAGAAGACCTCACTCAACACTGGGGAAAATGAAAAAGCCCCTTTAACAGGGGTCCCGAGCAGGCGTCTGCAAGTTCTTTCTGTAAAGGACCAGATAGTAGGTGATTTGCATGGTCTCTGTTGCAGCTACTCCAGATTGCCCCTGCAATGCGAAGCAACATTAGCAACACGTAAATGAACCTGTGTGGCTGTGTTCCAATAAAACTTAATTTATGGGCCCTGAAATTTCAATTTCATATGATTTTTCATGTGTCACGAAATACTATTCTCTTCGGTGTGTTTCTCCCCCCCCCCTTTTTTCCCTTTTTCAAACATTTGAAAATTCAAAAACTATTTTTAGCTCACAGATCTTATAAAACCTTGTGGCAGGCTGGATTCACCCTGGCCTAGATTCTGGAGCTGGTGAACCAGTGGTGTTTTTGAAAGCCCAGAAAACTAGCACTGGGGAGGAGAAGGAAAGGTCAGTGTTTCAATTTTTATATTGGAACAGACATAACCTACATATTTATTTTGGATGCTGCTGAATATTGCCACCAATATTATTAAACCCATTCTAACACATTCTAAACAACAATCTAGTTTTACATTTGATTTGCAATATGATTTTCTTGAGGCTTAATATATTATAAATGAACTTTACTCCAAGAGTATCTACTCAGGGACCTATGTACTACTTGACATTTGTTCTAGAAAATAAAGAAACACTTCAAAAATCTTCTATTTTAATTATAGTGAGATTTATAGTTGAATAAAAGTCTATATGAGCAGTCCAATGTGTAATCTATTTTAAATATGATATATGAGTTCTTTAAATAATTTTAATCTCTCCTGATTCAAAGTAAATTAATCTATGCTTATCTCAAATACCAATAATGCTTGTGTTTGGTCAGTATGTGATTAAAGCACGATTCAGGCATGGCTAATCAGCGTTGATCAGTTTTTCTATTTCATACAAATCGCACTAAATAAGTAATGCTGGTAGTAACTATCATTCAACCTTAGAATTGACTAGATTAATCCAGTCGTTCCTGAACAGTGTATTTTTTATGTAAGCATGAACAGTTGAAGTGCTTCAGGGACAATGACTCAGAAGCGGATAATTATGTAGTTCTTCCTTGTAAAATGTTAAGAAAAGCTTACTCATGATGCTATCAGCTTTGTAGTGAGAAAAAAAGAACCACTTACATCCTTGGAATAGGAAATAGATTAGTCTCCCCTGCAGTGCTGCTTCCTTCACTGTCCACGCTATACCCACTGCCAAGGCTGCTGCCCGAGGAGCCGGTGGGCACGGAGCTCTCCGCAGGCCGGTGGCCGGTAGGCTTTGCTGCATGGTGTGGGAAGAGTCAACACCACAGTCAATCAGTGATGCTCCCAGTGCTCTCCAAATGCATAATTATGCACTTGCCTCATTTACATGTATAAAGAAACAGCCCTAGCAAGAACTCCACATTTCTTAACTTGCCTTTCACTTTGTTTTCCTTAATGAATAATGCACAGTGGCAGCACTATGGTACTTGACTGTTATTGGACATAAAAGAAAAAAACAATCACTTTTAGGGATAACCCGTCATATTTTAAGCTGAGTTAAATAGTATGGAAGTGTCCTATTATTATTATTTGTGATTTATTTGTACAGTATTGCAATAATGATATGACAAACAAATAAGAATTTTGGCTATTTCATGGAGAGAGGAGTTTAGAAAGATTTGGGTAGGTACAAGTAGCAGGATAAAGAAAGATTGCTCAATTGTTTTCCGTGTTAATTACTAGTAATCTGTTTTTCTCTTGAGAAGTGAAGACGCAAAACAGGACGGACAATTTCAAGAAGTGATTGAAAATTCTGTGCTTGTTTGTATGTAGCTCTACCAACTTTCTCCAGCAGGTTATTTGATTTGAAGCTATTTGTTTCCTTTTAGGGACTTCTTAGTTTATGACTGGGCCTTATTTGAAAAATTTAATTTTTTTGGAAATAAGAATCCAGATTCCCACAGAAACATAATTTTGAGCTGTAAGTTATGCAGTAAGAGTACAGTACTAATATTGTTAGTGGAGTTCTAGATTAGAGGAGATTGAGGGGGGGGACTTTTGATGTAAAAAAAATGAAGGAAAGTGTTTCCTCTTATTTTTGAGGGGAGAAGATTCTCTAGGCAAGATTTTGAAATTGTTACTTATCTTCTCCCATCTGGTCAGAGTTTAAGAGTATGAGCTTTGATCATACTGATGTGGTTTTGAATCCCAACTTATTCTGTAGTAAACCTGAGAAGTCTCAGTTTCCTCATTTGAAAACAGCGGGGTCAGTAATGCCTATCGCATAAGCTTGTGACTGTGAGGACTGAGGAAGCAAGAGCCCAGGAACATACTCTTCATCTTGCCGTTCCCACAGCCTCTTGTCAACAGCTGTTCCCTAGTGTCGTTGAGTGTACCTACCTAGTCCCCGACAATAAGTTTGCCTGGCCTCTCTTTTAATTGTAGAAGTGTTCTAGGCTACTAAACTAAGAGTCTCTCTCCCATAGATACATCTCTGTTTAATCAGGAGTTTCGTAAGCAGATGGATAGGTTCACAGTATTTGGATGAGTAGTTGATAATTGTTTAATGATCCTAAGATATCTACATTTTTATTAAGAAATTATACAAGCACAATGATACTTGATGTGTTGGAATTTTAATGTAATCAATAAACCAAGTGAAGTGAAAACTATAGATATGTTGGGGGAAACCATGTGAGGGCAGGAAAACCATCATCAGGGCAGTCAGGGTCAATCTTGCAAAAGTTTTAGCTTTTCCCTCATTTCAGGACAATAGGTTCTCTAAAGCTGCCAGACATTTTTATATCTATTCCAGTGATAGTAGGTCACTTTCTCAGAGTACGGGGAAAAAGAAATGTTTATTAGTTAGTTACATATCATGTGTCTGTATGTTGGAAATAGCTATTTAGAAAAAGGCTTGAATCCTTTTAAACAGCCAGTGACCAATGAATTACTGGTAACCCATAGAACTAGATTTGCTGAAACAGAATGATAGTTACAATGTTTGTTTAATATTTTCTTCAATTTATGTAGTAGAAACACAGATAGTGTATTTTGTGTTAAAGAAAAGAATTATTTAAAAATAACTTAAAAATGAAAAGATAATATGACCATGACATAAAATTATGAACACTTGTAAAGTAAATTGAACTGTATAATTAGCCACAGAATGAGTCAGATTAGTCAACTGACTGTAAAGAACGGAACACTGTCATATTTTTTGATTGCCATTATATAATCCAATAAACAAGACTTGATAGGTTTTAGTATGATATTGAATAAAGAACTTTAATTTCATGAACTAGAAAAATCTCAATATACTATTTTCAAAGACAAACCTTAATTACTAAACATTAATTTTAAATCAGTTTATTTTTACTAAATTAAGACAATTTTCATCCAAGAGCAATCTCACAATGTATCAAAATAGCTACATTACAGAAAGGATGTCTTATTATTTTCATTTTAAAAATATTCAATCTCTTCTTTTGTGAAGTTTGATTTTACTGATACAACTTCTAGTTCTATTCCCCTTCTGGGAAATTTCAGATGTGTACAGAATGCAAAACAATATAAGAAGAAAGAGAGAAGGCTAGAAATAAATTTAACGAAAGACTGTTTTTGTCTTGTCTAGGTGAGTAGAAATCTCATTCAGAAAACTTGTGCACGCGCTGTCCATATAAATGCAAACAAGTATTTTATAAATATGAGAAGAAAGAAACCCAAATCTATGGAACATATACATATATTGAAATATGTCTCATCTACCTAACATCTTCGCAAACAAATTGCATGGAAGGTTGAGTCTAAAGAAATGTTGGGCACTTAGAAGTTAGGTGATTAATTTAAATAAATCTAGGTGTTTGGCATTACCTTAACAAAACATCTCATGCTCCAAGAATTAGGTAGCCTGACATTTGGTTAGTTTCTGAAAAGAAATTCAATTAAAATGCAGAATGGACCTTTGCCTTTTACCAGGCTATATCTACGCATAGCATAAGCAGTTTCGGTCAGATTCTTTAGTTGGCCTCTCAAAGTCCTTCATCTTCTGTTCCTTTCCCAATGTATCTCCCATAATTCTCTTTCACATGCTTTTCATGAAGCACACTGAGGCCATTCACTATGACTGCGTTTGGTTTGGCTTTATTTTTCCTGAGCTTTGGCTGCGGCTGTTCTTTCCAATTTTGTTATGCTTCCTCTGGCCCCGTCACTTTTTTACATCTAAATTATTATCAGAAAGGCCCAGCTCAGATCAGTCAAGGCCCGGCTTCATCCATTTCCTTATCTTACCAATCAGAAGGGAGCTCTCCTATATCTGCCTTCTCAGAGCACAAGGTCACATGTCTTTTCTTGGCAGTTATCACTTTCTATCTTTGTAGTTGTTATATTCATGTCATTGTTCAAAGCAGAGCCTGTGTTTTCTCCATTGTAGCCTTCTTAAAAGCTTATCCTGAAACTATGCTGAAGCAATATTTAGTAAAAATAATAAATTAATAATTCTTTCCTGTAACCAAACACCTAAAACATCTGGATGATTTAGTAATAGCTCACTTTTTATGCAGCTGTATGTTTTACACAAATGATAAATTTCTCAAGAGTAACTTTAATGTCATACTGTATAGAAAAATGTGATTATTCAACCAGATGTTTTATTTCCCAAATCCTCACAAAACTGGTTTGGCTGAAAGAAATAGTTAATGATAATACACTAAGCATGAGAGAGCATAGCTTTGTGAGCTTAAAAGAAGTTCATAACAGACCATGAATATTACATGTAAATATTTAAATTGGAATGACAATAGAAAATAATACGTATAGTAACATTCCATGAGAACCACCAGAGGGTGCTATTAGAGATACTAGTGTTCGTGCTAATTTCACTTCTTGTCTTTGTATTGCTGTGTTCCTGAAGAAAATAATATTTTAAAGGGTTAAAACTAAATATGATTTTCCATAATTTTATGATTTCAAAATTAACAATGTAAAAATATTCTACCTCTGCTTAACTCTACCAAATCTTAATCAGAGTTTCAGAAATAGTGGACCTATTATGCATGAGAATATATTATGCGCCTGTGTGTTACATATGAAAAATGTTTACTTTGCAGAAGAATCGAAGTTTATTTAATAATAAGACACTTTTGGAACCTACATCTTTTGCGTACTTTGTAAACTCCTGTTTGTACTGTCAAGTACCAGTTAGAAGAAATAATGTATCAAATAAAGTATATGATTAAACAAACGCACACCTGTAGAAAGGGTCCCTGTTCCCTTGAGGAATAAACCCGAGGGTGTTGAATCATTTTTGTGACTTAATTGTTGAGGGGACATTTCAGGTAAACAAATTTTACCTTCTGTGAGGCAATTTAATCTGCTTTAAATTATTTTTTTGCCTCTTCATTTTCTCCAGATGATAGATGGTTAGACATCATTGTGTTTTATCACCCCACTGTGGCTAATCTTAATTAAGCCTGCTATTGTCTCTTTGACTGCACATCTGTCTTCAATTAGTTTGCTGGTTTTTCCTCCCGCCTCTACAATAGTACTTTAAAATGCAGAACTATCGCTGTACCTACCACACGATGGCAGCGCTGTGCTCAAAGTCCGTAGATCAGAACTGAAGACAACTTTATAATTGTGGAACCATGGAAATCAAAAGCTGGCAAGGGCTCAAGAGATAACCTGCTCCTGACCCCAGATTTCGCCTATAGAAAAACTAAGCCCAGGAAATATTAAGTGACTCATTTCACTCATATGCTAATTAATGAGAGAATCAAAACTAAAAACCGCTAATCCACTTTTTTATCACATCCAATTATGTCAGATTAAGACTGTGAGGCCTCTGCCATCTCAGAAGTCAGTGCTAGGAATGCACAACACCCGCTGCCTGTGATGTTCTGTCATTGCTTTTATAGCCTTGGTCCAGCTCAAAGCTATTTCCAAATATTTCAGGAATAAAGTATAATGTAGATAAGCCTGCAATTTCCCAAATTACTTGGTCCATACAATATTAATATTATCTTCATAGATATGCTCTACAGGATTTAATATCAACTGTTTGAAATTAAGAGAAATCATGTAACAATTATTTTGTTTGTTCCAGTAGTTTACAGATGGAACTGAAATAACCATCTGGCTATTTTAGAAGTTATGTATTTATAGCATGTGTGTTTTTTCTTTAGCTAGCTTTAACTTAGCTGGTATTTACATTAATGACCTTTTCTCCTGTCTCCCCACTGCCACTGCCTGTCTTTCAGTCCTTTACCCATCTGTTATTAATGCTGTTGTGTTACTAAA